AGGCTGGGTTGAGCTTCATGCCTGATTCATTTCTAACGCTGTGCGGCTTTGGATAGTACTAGGGACCGTTCCGTTCTGCTGGGGGCACTGTTCGCTTCATTAATTTGTTGGTTGGCTTTCCGGTATTACACATACGAGAGGAACGCCTGCGTTGCGCTGCCTCTGCCTTTTTGTACTTTTGCATTTCCTGGTTCTTCGTTTGTCTGGACCGCTGCGACGATAACGCGAACTTGCGAAGCCTACGCGCGATATCTTTTCTTGTTTCTATTGTCGTGGGTTTACTTTTGGTCGGACCTCAGCCAAAGTCGTGACCTATTCCGACGACACATTCCGAACGCGAATTGCAGGACCATACATATCTGCGCGGGAACTTGGAAGGATTGCGTTTGCGTGGAACCACGGGACACGAGAAAAGGGAGTGCTTGGTTCGGAAGGACGGTTTGCGACAAGCGCACCCACGAGAGTTGACGACTCGAAACGGATCCGGTTACGACACGAATACCGCCTGAACGGGAGCGCATACACGTCACAAGAATTACAATCGCAGACACAGAATCAAGCGCAAGAGAAGGACACAATGGACGAGAACAACAGAATCACGATTACAGTGTGCGGTGATGGTGGATGCGGAAAGAGTTCGATTACGCTGCGGCTTGTGAGAAGCCAATGGACATCTGAGTACGACCCAACAATAGGTACATCCCCCTGCGCGCGAATTCGTCGCAACTTGTAGCCTCACACGACTAACACCCCTCCAGAAGACTCATACTCCGTAACCCGAACCGTCGATGGCGTCCCCTACTACCTCATGCTCACGGACACGGCCGGCCAAGAAGAATACCGCGGTCTTTGGGCCGCCTCGAACCTGCAATCCGACGCTTTCCTCCTTGTCTACGATATAACATCTGCCAACTCGCTCGACGCGCTCGACTACTTCATGGAGATGATAGAAATGGAGACCGAGAACCGGTTAGACAATGGCAAGATACCGCCCATCAAGTGCGTGGTAGGCAACAAGTGCGATTTACAGGGCCAAAGACAGGTAGAAGCGAAGACGGGTCTCGAGTGGGCGAGGCGGAGAAAGTGCGGATTTATGGAGACGAGTGCGAGGGAGATGGTCAACATTGAGGAGACTTTTGCGCGTAAGTCCTGCAGCGCAGATGACGGCAGAGACATGGCTAACAAGACGGACAGTGCTCGTACGTCGTGTAGTAGAAGCGCGGAGACTCACTGCCGGAGACGGCCCTGCGAACCGAACTGCCGCTCTTCCCCTTCAATCGCATCCGAACCGCGACCCGAACTCTTCGGCGGCGTATCTGGATAATGAGAAGGATGATGAGGACGAGCCCAAAAAGAGTTGGTGGAGGAGGCTGAAGTGCTGGTAGTTGCATTCCTATGTTGCTACGCATTGCACATAAGTCTCAGGCGTTTACCAATAGCCTGGGGACTTGTCGTTCGTTCACGGGCTCGCTGAGATGTGGTATGGGACATGAAGCACGACCTGCTTGTTTTATACACACTTTGCTTTCCCGTTTATTTCCTTGACTTGTATATATGCGTCGATGTTACGGGCGCAAAGCATTTGTATACGCATGGCATGGATATGTCGATTAGCGGGAATGGGGAAACCACGGGATATACCGGGCGGCTGTCTGATTCTTGTTCATTTTCTACAGCGTCTCACATCTTGCGTATGTATATTTCCTTGCATCACTGTCGATTTCATACTGTAAAGAATTCACATCAAGTTTTGAATGAGAACACATACTAGCTGGCGCACGTTGCACATGGACTGGACGCTTTCCGTGGTACGCTTCGCGGATTATATCAGAAGGCTCAATAATATGTATCAGTCAGCAGTAATCGCGATCTGTACCTATAGGATGTAGTGCGAACGATGACCGCTTCGAGGCTAACCACCCCGTCGGCTATCCAAGGCATCGCTAGCGCGTCTGTGCACGAGCACGCCATTGGCCTGTAAAGCCCTTGGACAACTTTGAAAACCCTCACAATAGCATCAAACTGTTAATACCAACAAAAAGCTACAGGGACATCCTGCACCTGTCGACACTTAGGCAAGGAGCGCAAACAGTGCGTTCAAGGCCGGTGACGTCGTAACTACCCCTCTAAAGGGTCCGTGTTGACGGAGATAAGAGAGCAGCGAGCAAGAAGAGATATCGGCAACACAGAAAGAGCAGGAGCAACATGTCGAAACCTCATATTGAGGAAGAGCTTCCAGTTCAGGATGGTCTTTCTCGAACACTCAAAGACCTCTTCGCAGGTGCAGTGGGAGGAGTTGCGCAAGTCTTAATAGGACAGCCTTTTGGTAAAATCTCTACGAACTGCGTGTGAGACATATGCTGACTTCGCACTTCGACAGACATTGTCAAGGTGAGATTACAAACAACATCACAATACTCTGGTGCCCTGGACGCAGCGACCAAGATCTACCAAAACGAAGGAGCCCTCGCCTTCTACAAGGGCACACTGACACCACTCATCGGAATCGGAGCTTGTGTATCAATCCAATTCGGCGGCTTCCACTATGCGCGACGTGCCTTCGAAGCCAGTAACGAAGCCAAGACTGGAAAAGGTCAATTGTCATACTCGCAATACTATGCCGCCGGTGCATTCGCCGGTATCGCCAATACCGTTCTATCCAGCCCCATCGAGCACATCCGTATAAGACTGCAAACACAACCCCACGGTGCAAATCGTCTCTATGCCGGCCCGATCGACTGCGTGCGCAAACTCTCGGCACACCAAGGCGTACTTGGCGGTGTCTACCGTGGCACAGCTGTCACATTCATGCGCGAAGCACAAGCTTACGGCTGTTGGTTCACCGCCTTCGAGTACATGATGAACGCAGACGCTGCACGCAACGGAATTGACCGGAAGGAGATCTCTACTCTAAAGGTCGCGGCGTATGGTGGACTTGCGGGTGAAGTGCTGTGGATCAGTTCATATCCCTTCGATGTACGTTCAAAATTTCCCATGTACGAAGTGCACGTGAGACATATACTGACTTCGTACACCCACTTCTTAGGTCATCAAGAGCAAGATGCAAAGTGACGCGTTTGGCAAGGATCAGAAGTACAAGAGCATGAGGGATTGCTTCGCGAAGACGTACAAGGGCGAGGGCTTGGGTGGCTTTTGGAGGGGTATTGGACCGACTTTGCTCAGAGCTATGCCAGTCTCGGCAGGCACATTTGCTACGGTCGAGGTCACGATGCGATTGATCAGCTAAGAAGCGCTCTTGGTTTCACGAACATCCCCAGATATTGCGGTGGTGGAGCCTGTACGATAAGCCCAGGTCCATAATTGATGGAAGACGCCGTTCAGATCTTTAGCCAATGTTTCAGGTGTGCATACGGAGAGTTTGCGATACGCACCATTGGGAGATCGGCCTATCTGTATGCGTGTGCGAAACTATCGACTTCGTAGTGTTCCCATAGTAGCTAGTACGCGTCGATAACAACACCGCCATTGCGTCTGAGCTTGGCTCGGCCTTAGTTCACAGATTATTGCGGTGCGGCCCTTGGGGAACAACAACGTCGTCGTATCGCTCAGCCAGCCTCTAAACGCCCTTCACATAGAGCTTACTCAGCCTCTGTCTGTAACGCGTTCCATCGTCATGCTGACTACATACAAGATAAATTACCCTGTAGTCTAGGCACGCAGCATCCTCTCGGATGCAATTTCGCTCCTTCTTGTGCATTACGTCGGGTACCGACGCACCCCTGTTCGAACGCAGCCGTGCCGCATCCCCCCAAGATTCATGCCACAGACTGCAAGCCACATGCTTTGAGCACAAATTCGAAGGAACCACTCATGAAATTGCACAACCAACTTGAGAAGGTACGGTCGGGGCCGACGGGCGTTGTTCCGCTATTGTGCCGCAGTCCCGCTGCGAACATGTGGATTGGTCCGTAGAACTAACGGGCAGCACCAAACTCTACCTCTTCTCACCCCAAGTCCTGTAACATGCGATGGGAAGTTCCTTGTACAAGAGATAGAGTTTACAGCGAGTTCCAGGAACCTGGCTATGGCCTCGTGGAATTTGCCGAAGAGCTTCCGGGTATGCAAGAACGACTCTTATGCGGCGCGGTTTGCATCCATAGCTCGTCACACGTCACGTCACGTAAGGAGATTACCGTTTTTAGCTTGGGAAGCAACGCATTCGTAGTCACGGCGAAAATCACCGTTATATCGGTGCATATGTTATGATATGTCGTCGCTCAATGTCCTTTTCGATCGTTTCGCTCGAATCGCTGCTTCCTACACTGCACCGCACCTTCGCTAGACCTTCCAACAACTTGGGCGCGAGAGACGCGCCTGAATCCTACGATACGCGACGACGGGCGCGTCAAACGAACGCACAAAATGCTCTTCAGCACAACACTAAAGAAATGGAAGTCAAGTCTCAACGCTTCGAAACCATCCTCACAGCCAACCCGACCCTCAAAACAAACTCAATCGGAGGAGAACCTCGTTTCGATGCAACTACCAAAACCGCGATATAGCTCCCCGACCCACTCGAACTCCGAAGCTGCGCTTCATCGACCGACGAGTCAAATTGTGTGTCATTCGCCGTTGGATAAAAGGAATCGGACGGGGAAGAAGGGGAGGAGGAGTAAAGATGACCAGGCTGCGAAAGGAGGTGATGGTAATGGATTGAGGCATAAGACTTCCACACGGGTGTTGTTCTCGTCGACGCAGTTTGACAAGGTTGATGTTAAAAAGCCTGCTTAATGGGAGGAATCGAATATGGAACACGAGCCCGGACAGCAATGCAGATAATGAGAACGCGCCATCCGCAAGAGGCAGCGACATGGGATATCATGTGAGTCGGCATGTGGAGGGGATCACTGAGAGCGAAACATGAATGGCGTTTCCCTATATGGAAGACCAAAGTGTCAGTTGCCAAAACAGGCTTCTGTTATGAAAATATACTAATTCGTGTTCTCGTTAAGAAGACTCCTCGTTGCCCTTTACCACTACTACCTCTCCGAAACGAGCAAAGATCTGTTCAGTGCCTCAGCAATCTCATTCTCATCAAAACCTCCTGTACTAGCCCTTCTCGGTGCTGAGAGTGCTTCTTGCTGACTGAGCGCTATCGCTTTTGCGAGGTCGTCATCATCATTGCCCAACGAGACTATCCGCGGAATGGCATTATCGCCGGCGCCTGGTGTGGGGTGAGGTTCAGCGTCGAGTTCATACAAGTCTGGGCTGTCTTCGTAAGCCGGCGCGGCTTCCGAGGGATTCCCGTGATGTGAAAAGCCTTGCATTTGCCTGGGTGGGTTGCGACATGCTTGACCACGACGGCGGGCCCAGTCAGGAACATCACCAGGTATTTCGGGATACACAAAACCTGAGTCCCTGTTCAAGCCCGTCGCATGCTCATTGTGAATTGCATAAGGGACGTTACTGTCGCTCGTTGGGCGTCGAGGCGATACGTTCCCCTGCCGTTTCTTACGCTCGCGAAGTGACTGTCTGTTGGCGAACATTTTCGGTCGCTCAGGCTCCGAAAAGCGTGATTGAGAGACTGCAATCGTTAATACTTTGCACCGTGATTCAGGAGCTTATGAGCTCGGCATTGACTTACGAGATGTCTTCATGGGTTCGCCTTCTGCGAAACGCCTAGGAAAGCCGCTGATAGGCAGTCCTGCCTGTCCTTGGGCGCGATCGTCATTCAGATGTAGAACGATTGATACTTCTGCACCCTCCGAAGCTATGGGTATCTCAACGGGGTTAATATGAAACAATCCTCTTTCTGTCATATTGCGGATCGTTTGCGGTGAGACCTGTATACGCTCGGACCCTCCTTCGTGCAAAGCCTCCAGAATGCGAAAGAATGGCTGGAAGCCAGGTAGCTGATGCCTTCGTATGTATTCCCCCAAGTGTCGAAGGTTCTGCGATCCTGCAGCGAATCTGCACTGGATTCGACCTTGCAATGGTCAGCCAAAGGCATTCGTTGCCGAAATAAACTTACCTCGCACGATGATATGGTCTTCGGTAGACCTTTCAGGAAGACATTTGTCAAAGTAGAACGAACTCGCAACCAGCCGCTGCGCAATGTCTCTGATCTTTGTCTGCTGACCGTGTTTGCGAAGATCGTTTTCGATATCTTCCAGCAGACGATCAATCTGGGACTTATCGTCCAATTTGGGAATACGATTCATTGTCCTTGGGTTCAAACGGATGTATCGATCGGCGACTGCATACGAAGCTGGTTGAATCACGTCGTTGCGGAAATCTTTCCAGGTCAACTCGGCATCCAACGCACTTTCCATCCGTTTCTTGAAGATCTTGAGCCATGATTCGAATTCGAATGCGCCAAATATACGCATGGAATGTTTGGCGCGTGAAGCAGGTTTAGGCTGGTACATTTTCTTTCGGGTTTCCAAGCGCCTGCGATCGCGACGTGGTGTGTTGGCAAAATCATCAGTGTCAGCTGAGTGCTGACCAGTTCCTATGGAGAGAAGAATGTCCGGAGGTCTCTCATCTGCATCAGGCCAAAGAAGTTTACTCTCGTAGTTGGCGATGCGAACGGGATTGTTATGGAAGACAGCACCGTCCAAGAAGCATTCCATTGTACGCGGGTTTTTGAACGGTTTGAAGTAGGTCGGGGCAGCCGACGTTGCTCGTGCACTGCAATCAAATCAGTGAACTCCTCTCGATATGCATGTTGGTATAGAGACTCACGCTTCTCGGACCAGAATATCGTTCTTTGGGTCATCGGGGCGGATCAATCGGTAGCCAACTTATGCTATGTCAGCAGAATCCAATATGAGAGCTTTGAGGACTTACTCTGCTCATCTTCTGCGCGATTGTAGTTTGTGAAAATCACCGCTTGGTCCGCAGTTTCCGTTGCAGAGGTAACGGCCACTTTGCATGGATTGACAAGTGCGGTTTCGCATTCGCCACCGAACATGGTCTCGTCCTTGAAACACTCCCTCATTACGTCTTCGAAGGGTTTCGTACGGTATTTGTTCGTTCCGAAGGTGACCCCACCGAGGATTCTGGGCGTGAACGCCCTGTCCACCATCTTGCGGAAGAGCTCACTGCAACGGTCCACGGACCAGCTTTTGACACCAAGGCCGAGTGCTAGAATGCCTCCAGTACTATGAAGTGAGTCAGCTTTGGCCTCGATGATCACGCTCCATAATATGCGACAAGGATGCGTTTGCTCGAGCTACTAACCTAGTACCAACGATGAGATCGAAAAATTCTTGGACTTTGATATTACCGCCTAGCTCCTCCTGAATACGTCGAAGGACCTCTAAGATGACAACTCCACGCACACCACCTCTGCATAAATTAGATGAACGCTTGCAGATCTAGAGAAGAAGGCTTACCCGTCAAGAGACAGTATCCGCAGACCTGCCAGAGGTGGTTTGAAGTAGACCTCTACCGGTTTAGAGAAGAATGCCTCGTGGTCGTGTAGCGGACATATGTTCATCTTGAACGAGCCGGAGAGTGCTGGGTCTGGTTCGCCATAACCTTCCACGCACGCTGTGCAGAGCACATGGCCGCAAGGTAGTGCATGCTCCGCTAATTCCCTCAAGCAGCAGAAACATGTCGTATGACTGACGAAATTACGAGCACCGCCAATGCGGTAATAGAAGTCTTTGATGTTGCCGAGATGAAGTCTGGTAATCACATCCTCTTCCTCCACTTTGGTCGACATCGTCATCTGTGACTCAAGCCTCTCCTGAAGCTTGATCACATACTTCGTGACATGATCATACCAATCATCGCTGAAGTTGTCAAATGTGAAGCTCGATTGGTAGGGGCCTGAGCCGATAACATTGCCACGTCGATTCTGATGTCCCTTCACATGACGTTCCTTTACATTCACGCATGGCTCACCTCTTTTGCTAATGAACGAACATGGCCAGTAGATGGCGCAAAAGTCTTCGAGTGCGCTACCACAGTGAGTCATTTATTGTGCCTCAAGGTTCTGCTCCGCAGTGCCTGCGTAACCGTCGGGTTAGCAAATCGAGATTCGAGACTGCTAGCCGGGGGCAGAAGCATTCATACCTTTCAGTTTTTGCCGAACACAGTCTAGCACTACACAAGACGCTACCATATGGCTCAGCTCTTCGAAGATCTCTCTAGGATTGGGATCGCCAGATCGGGCCTTCATAGCGACGGCCAGTTTGAGAATATGACCTCCAAAGTCTTGAGGTATCGGGTTGATCTTGAATGCGATATCCATGAAGTCGAAAGGTTTATGAAGATCCTGCGAGAAGTGATCGAACGCGCACTGCAGATAGACGTGGAGGGTCTCAGAGTTGGAGAGCATGCGCGACCTTCGTTTGGAGTGGAACGATTCAGCGCATCGGCGCGTGATTACTCCATGCAATTTCGAAATTTGATCGTCGATCATCATGTACCGGCTTCCACCTGGTATTCGAACCACGGTGATAGAAGAGTAGTAGCACTCAAGGAGATCCTTCATGGTGTGAATGTTTCTGCCTCTTCCGTTCCAATGGTCCCGTAGTTGGCTATATGCTGGATCTCGGTTGACAGCTCCTGCGACGTTGGACATGAGCAGCTCTGTCGCGTGATCGGGGTCCCACTCCTTTTGATCTACCTTCGTGTCTGTCGCATTGAGTGCGATGATAGCGTGTGGTAGTGTAGGCTGGTTGACTGACTTCTCGAATGACGAAGATGCCCATTTGATGAGCAACGCTAAGACTGTGGATTCGAAGGTTCTGATCAAAAGACATTAGCTCTTGTGCAGTCTTGTGGAGAGAATATAAGATGACAATAGTACAGATGTGAGTCAAATAACTGGGTGTACGGGAAATCTAACTTCAATCGTCACTTACTTTGCGTTGCGTAGAACAAAAACAATCACGTCCGAGAATGTGTACAGGAGACGAGGGTAGAGTTCCGTGACAGCGTACTGGCGCTTCAACTTTTCGGGGGAATTCGCCCACTTTATTTCTCTCTGGGTGACGTGGAAGCTTTTTGTGGCTTTGCGGCGTCTGCGATGTTCCCCTGATGCGATAATACTTCTCTCTTCCTCTCTCTGTGGTGCTGTTGCGCGATCTCGATATTGTGCAGCCATTGGTGCATTCTCGCCTCCTTCTAGGCCTTCACAATCGGCATAGAGCAACGGATACTCGTCGCTGTACGTTCCCGGATCACTGTACAAGTGCACGTCGCCAGAAGTGGGTACGTTACTGTTCGCTGACGTTCCTGCGACGGGCGAAGGGAGAATCCAATTCCGTTGCTCATCCATGCGTTCCTGCTGATCAATGAGCATCTTGATAAGCGTGCTCTTGCCTGCTCCAGTTTGACCGATGAAGGATACTAATCGTGGGTACCGGGATTTGAACTCGCCAGAGTTGCTGTCCGCCATGATGGCAGAATAACGACCATGGTCCTGGAATGCGGTCGAATTTTGACTGGTACGCACCATTCCAAACCATGTCGTATCTTCATCCTCAACATGTAGCATTTGTTGTTCGCTGTGCTCTTGAGGAGGAGCCAAAATGTTTTGTAGCCTCTTGACAATTGCAGGGTTTGCCTTTTCATGCGGAAGGCCATCTGGACCAGTACGACCTGCCTTGTGCTGCGCCTGCCTGACCCAGCAGTCATCACAGAAGCGCATGCCGCAATATGAGCAGTCCCATACGGGCGACTTTTCGAGCTCGCAGGCTTCGCACGTCCGTCGCCGGGTGTCTCCAGTGTCTGGCGACATGTGCGATGATTCGAAGGATGATTCAAAGGTCGGGTTCACCGCATCCCGAAAAACGTTGTTGGAAGTTGCTCCCCGAGTCCGATTTAAGACTCTGGAAGATTCGGATTTAGCGAATCTGGCTACAGGAATCTCTGGTGCATGGGAGGGAGATCGTGCCGTGAGATCGGGCATCCTTCTATGAGGATTTGCCATCTCTGCGAATGAGGCCTGTATATACTTCGTCGAATGTGAAATGAGAGAAGGATACAATAGGAGTTGCTGAGGGATGCTACGCAAGGAAAGAAGAGGCAAAGTCTGTTCTACTTGATACCTACTTCGCCCAAGGCTACATTTCAGCCTAGTCTACTGAATACGTGGACCTACAGATAAATGTTGCATGGCTTTTCGTAAGCAGGTCTGAGCCGCACACTCCACGAATAGCAGCCAATGTTGGGAGGAGTAGAGCGATCTTCCATCAGCCATCAGAAGCCATCGCTGGCTTTAGATTCTCCGAGCACAACAGCCCCCATCAATGACTGCAGCTGATCAACTCATGTGAGCTCAGCTCATGCAGCCACCAAAGTGCTCTGGTTCGGGATGGACGCGAGGCTGAAATCCTTCTGCCGCAGGTAGGTTCCTACCTTTAAGGCAGGGAAGCCATCGCCGGTGTGAAGTAGCACCGTTGGCAGGTATGATACCTGATATTCAATAGCAGATTGCAACGGCTAGAAGGAAGCTTGAGTGATCCGAACTGCCCTGCAGGATTGAATGGGTCCGGAGGCCGGGGACGGGGACGGGCATGCATGGCGCCCACGCCAACACCCGTTTCGGCTGAGGAACAGCCATTGACGACTGAAAGCTTGTGAGATCCATTTCCGGCGATCAGAGTATGCGGCAGATGAACGGTGTTGAGGGGGCGGACTATGGTCTAAGAGCAGACGAAAAAGGTGGGATGAAGCGAAGCCCGCCCGGGCGGGAATGGTGTGCACGCCAGGGGCCAGCTTATGTGAGCGAGAAGCTAGCAATCACGGATGCTTTGAGTGATGGGATGTTGTATTTGGATATCGGCGTGCCCAAACATGTACTCCATAAGATGAGCGCAAACATGAGAAGACGCATTCCAAGGTTCCGAGTCGTCAGCGCACGCGTCTTGGAAGTGACATCACGCGCGCCAGTTCGCGCCATTCCGCGTCGCGGTGGCCCAAGCTCAATCACAGCCATCCCACCCTCCTTCCGATGATGCTCACACCCCCAAGCGCAGCGCTAACCCCCGTCCACACCACCAAACTGCCATATTGCGTTCCGTACAATCCATGCTCACCAAGAGTTCCCGTCTTGATCAATGCTTCACTGATAGGCCCACTAACAATATTCCCAATACCCCTACCCATGCACAAGAACGAGAAGACCATGGAGCTCTCCATCTGGCCCGTACTCGTTTGCACTGCTCTCATGATTCCAGGCCAAGTATTCGCGAAGCTGCCTGCGAAGAGTCCGTATGTGAAGCAGAAAATCAGTAACGGTGGTAGCGACGTGCTGAAACCCCAGATCAGGAAAGTGGAGATCATGGCACCGATGGTGGAAATGAGGATGGCGGTGGTGACGTGTGTGCGATCGATGATGCTTCCCATACTAACGGATCCGATGACAGCGGCGACATTGAGGAGAATGAGAGGAACAGCGGAAACTGTGCTGCTGAATCCTAGGGCCTTGGTGTATGTAGGAAGGTCTAAATTAGCAAAACGTCAGTGTAGCTCTCGCATGTAATTCGTACAGAGACACTTACAAATGGATGGTACAAAGAACCCCAAGCCCTGCAAAATGTTGCCAGACTGCAGAACCCAAAAGGTCTTGTTCGTGAGGAATGTGAAAGTAATTCCACACCTGGTAGTTGCCGAGACAGGCAGCCGTGGTTTGATAAAGATCGTGACGGGTAGAAGAACTGCGAAGAGGAGGCCTGCCCATATGCGTAGCGTGTTGCGGAAGCCATAGCGATTGAGAAGGAACTGCAGCAACAGCGGAATGACGACGCCACCAAGTGCTGTACCTGCCCACATGATACCAAATGCGAGACCTTTGCGTCTTACAAACCATTCATCCAGGAGTATGATACAAGGACAGTACACTATTGCGCCGCCAACACCATAAAAGATCCCTTGAGTGACAATGAGTTGCGGTACGGTTGTGCATAGCGAGCTCAGACCAAGCGAAAGGCACATGGTAAATACGCCAGCGACCATTGCCTTCCTCCTGTACTGAGGCCAGCGCGTGAACAAACCAAACGTCAATGGCGCGATCATGTATAGAATGCCCATCGCTGAAGTGCCGATGGCTGGGATACCAGATGAACCTGCGAATTCTGGAGATGAACTGTAGTACTCTTGAAAGATGCCATATGACCATGGGAAGCCTAGTAGGTATATTAGCAAACTTTCGAATTAGACAACACTACTACGGCAAGATTGAGTTGAGAGATATGTAGTCATGATGATACTACGAGGGCAAAGGCGTAGTCAATGAAACACTTCACACTCACCCCATACCATCATCTCCACCATAAACCCAGCCGCAACGAACAACCACGCATCTTTCCCGCCATCAGTCGGCGGTAGTAAAGACTCGTTCTCGTTTACGGGCTGCTCGTTCCATCGTTGGCTTGATTCAAGCTCGAATTCCGATTGGTTGTCGGGCGTGGTGCCGGTGCTTGTAAGGGCCGATTGAGTTCTAGTCTCCATGATGAGTGTTGAACGTAGATATCGTCAGAATGCTGCTCTAGAAAACATCCACAGAGGGCTTCAATTATATAGCAATCCATTCTGCGCTGATGCTGTATGATATCAACGATAAATGCATAGCAATTTGTTGACCGCAGGGTCCTCCGACCCAGATCGTGCCCAACATGCCAATAAAGATGTGCTGTTCAGCTCTAACACAGGAAGAGAAAAGCGATCCCTCCTCGAAAGCGGGGCATGGCAGACTGGTAGAGATGTCATAATTTGGAAAGAGTGCATGGCGCTGATTTCAAAGCGCTTTCGGAGTGGGCGACGCAGCGCACATGGAACTCCGAGGGGCGCCGGAGTTCGGCATAGTGTGCTCCAGTAGCTCATCGGTATCGCAACGGAGTCGGAGGCGACATCGCACAGCTGAACACGCGCATTTGATGGGAAAAAAATTGATGAGAAATCTGTTCACGGTTTTCGCGCCTGATGTCTGATGATGCAGATCGCATCGGTTGAGCGCTAACTGTCCTTTGGTCGTAGCTCCCGCCGCATCCATGTAGGCGAGAACGGCACCTTCCCATGTCCGGACGTAATGTCCTACGCTTTCTCGGGCTCATCCAACAAGTAGCCATCCCTCCTACCTAGCACATCCTCGACGGTCTCGTCTGTGAATTTCAAGTCCTCCTCAAGCGGCACCGTGTCTTTGATCTTCAACAGCATCACTGGCAGCGCGACGATCAAGCTTCCAGCCAACAACACCCAACTGGATAGGAATATGTCCATGTAAGGCCTCTTGTAGCCGTCTAGGCGGAACACGATAGCTGCGCCAGCTGATTGAATGCCCTTGTAAAAGCCAGCAAAGTTGGCGAGCTTTCGACTGTTGTTCGAGATTGCGCCCATGAACCTGAGGGCTGTTAGCAGAGAGCATGCCAATGGAAAGACAGACTTACCAGTACACGCATGTCTGCCATGCCGCATCATAAAAGCCATAGCTGATGTACAACACCATTGGGCCGCCTGCAGAGGTAGAGATGAAAAGTCAGTACATGTCTCACATGCATCTCGCACATGATTTTCACGTACCATACCCGCCGTCTGTCCAATCGAAGTGGTGGCTATCATCGTCGCGACGATACCGTCGTTGGAATACGTACCCTCCTCCCCAAACGGCGAAGGTCAATAATAGCATGACTACCCAGGCAATCTTCGCCCTGGTAGTCCTTCTGACGTTCGGGAAATCCAGTGCAAATCCAAACACACCAGCTCCGAGTATCTGCGCCAACCAATAAAGCGCATTGTTGAGTGCGCGCGTTCGCACATTGAAACGTGCGTAGTTGACGTCGTTAAACTGGTACGTGTAGAACCAATTCGAAGCGAAGAACATCGGAAAGAGGAGTATGATATACGGATCTGTACGCAGAGTCTCCCAAAGACCCAAGATCTCGGACTGCCAAGTTGGGTGTTTCATCATGATGATTCGGCTGCCGTCGCGTCGTATGACGTGTTTGGCATCGATGAGTGTCCAGGAGAGGCAAGCGCCGAGAAATGTGAGGACCATAAAGCCGATGTATGTCTGGTCAGTGACAGCTGCTGGCCCATCTGCGTTTTGTGTATCAAAGTTCAGCCCAAGCTGGACCAGGCTACCAATGACAGCACCCATGTTGAAGATGCTATCATGAGAAATTAGCTTATCTCGGTACGGTCCGTACAGCAACACCTACATCCAGAACAAAGAGATATACCGCCCCTTCTGCTTCTCTGGTGGATAACTCATCCTGCAGAGGTACGAAGTCAGTACATGTCTCACATACTCTTCATAAGTCAGCTTACATTATGGCACCTTGCGCCGACCACAGTATGCCAGCGCAACATCCTAACAAGAACCCAGAGAAGACCACGTAGCCCAAGTTTTGAGTTTTGTTGAAGCAAAGCAATGCACTGACGTAAACGCAATACCCTAGACCGCCGAAGGAAAGCGCAACTCGAATACCGAGGACATTGGTGATAGTGCCAGCGAAGAAACCGACGATTGCAAAGGTAGCATAAAGTGTAGTATTCGCAGCGTTGCTGGCATGTGCATCGTCGTCGAGACCTGCGGCTCCGATACCATTGACGGCGTTGAACATGCCTGCGTAGAGTTAGTAAACTGTGCGTTACTACGATCGTGTGCTGCTTACCGGGACACAAGAAGCAGACAAATGAGACTAATATCAATTGCGATTCTGGCGATGCATAGCATGGAAGCTTGATGGGTCCAATTCTCAAGCTGCGGTATTTCCATCCTTTCGGTCTTTCGAAATCTCCATGGTCGCCGTTACTGACAGGCGCTCTTGCGCTTGCCCACCCAGAGTCGTCGGTTTTCGCCATTGGTGCTCGTATAACTGACGGGGCGTCTCGTGGAACTTGAGCCTTGTATTGAAGCAATCAATCGGCGAGCTGCAAGTGCGGATGCTGTAGATGGAAAAACGGGATGATGTTGATTCTACCGTGCGAACCTGAAACGACGAGACAAAGGAAGGATTCAGAATGCGGGTCAGGCTGGTCTGTTCGTCTTAGTAGCTGTTGCTGGATCGCTCACGTACGATGGGGCCAGTTGAATCCGATCTGCGGACGTGCATGCAGTCGTGCTTTTCGATAGATGGACTGATTGGCGCAGTGCATGACTGTGGCAGCGCAGTCTCGCTATCTTTGTCTCACCAGCTGTGTTACCACACCCTTCTTTATGCAGAGTGCCCAATTCTGGGGGCGGAAGCTATCCGTGCTTGGTATCGTCAGAATGCTGAAGTCCTACTTAATCTCATGATGCTGCCCTCTGGTCGATATATTTCTGTTTGGTGCACTAAGATCGATTACACGAGCAAGGCTCGATCGGAAGCTCACTTTGCGCAGCTCAGCCCGTCGCGTAAGACTGCTATGTGCGGCGCGCCTATGTAAGCCCGTGGCGTACCCCAACGCCAAATTGTCAACGCACCCTGCGTCCACAGAGATGGCTCCGCCCACTGCGGAGATAGAGCCAAGACATGCGAAGTACCACTGCGAGTCGCAACACGTATCAGCCCAGTAAGCTGGGAGGTCCATGTGCTCGGAATGAGGTGCGGAGGTCAAAATGGACGCATTGGGATATGTTTCGGCCCCATCATCTTGCTCGTACGTCTACGCCTCTTTCCATCACATTCGCAAAGCCCTTCGTGAGAGATATGTGACAGGCGTATCATGGCGCGCATCGACCAATAGGGATAGTTGTGTTCGGCCCTTGGTCGAAGTGCACAAGCAAGGGCATTGCGAAACCAATAACCCCGCCGGCCCCAATGGTATAGACTTTCAATATCTCTTCCATGTGTCTATTGGACGGCAAAGCTCCAGATCGGCGTCGCTGTGTACTCCAGCGTTGAGTAGTTCTCCCGGTCAGGCTCACCGCATGATCCACTGCTTCATGGCGTAAGCCACGACCTGTGTAGCTATCGGTACTTTTCACGTCACACTGCATAGCATAGCGTCTGCGCAGCCAGCAATTTGATTTCTCCTGGGCCTCACACCCATCGCAATGCAAATATCGACCATCTGCGATGGAGAGAGTTGCAACCACACCGGCGGATGCATCTTCCGCAGTTTCGGTTCTGAACAAAACGGCTTGGGCGTTGTTTGTATCTCTTTCCGAACTCAACCTGGACGCGAAACATTGCGATGCATCCCTTGACAATCTTGTGGGGGAGGTGAAGTCGCTTGGGAATGAGTGTTACCAGATTCACCTCAAACTGGCAGAAGTCGCAAGCAAGACCAAGACAGGGTCACCTCCACCCTATGATGGAGATGGTCGAATGTGGAGTTGCCTGGCAACTCAGGTCGAGGATGCAAGTCAGACTATAGATAGCCTGAACTCATTCGTCAGCGCTGTCAGGATGGAAGAGGCCGAAGAGGCCAGCGTTGTGTTCCAACCGCAACGCCTTGTCCAGCTGCACAACAATAAGGAGCAGATTGAAGAGATGGGAGCCGCTGTACACAGACACAGCGACAATCTGAGAACTACGTTACTTCTGATTCAGGCGTAGGTCCTTCCTTGCACCAAAATTGTTTTCAACCGCTGAATCGTTTTCCAGGGTCCTCTCCTATATTGCGCCTATACAGGCCGAAAGACGTCCTGCACCAGATGTCATGAAGCTTCAACAAATGGTTAAGAAGCTACAACGATCATCCCAGGTCGGTCCGCCATGGCGGTATTCTCATACGGAGGCTACGTTGATGCAATATGCGCAAGAGGTTATCGTGAAAGGAATGTATACTCCGGAAGCCAACCCACAGGAAGACATTGTAGCTCAGACTTCACCCAAGGTCTCTAGCGATAGCGATCGTCTGCCATGGATGAAGGCTATCCAAGCAATACGAGAAGATCGAAAGGAGTCGGTGCCAACAAAGAGCCCTAGGAGAGCTCTCAGTGTCTTGCGAGGTGCGGCTCCGCTTCAAGGTGTACAAGAGCGTGAGACATCCGACTCGGACGATGATCTGGATACCGACTTCGCGAAAGCGGCCTTGAGCACAGGCTCGCAAGCCTTCGATTCCGGAAGTTGGGACGAGGCGGACTCTCTACTCCAAGAAGCACTCAGAATATTGCAAGGGCTGTCAACGCGCCAACGCGCATTCTGTGACGTGTTCAGCCTCTTCTACAGGCTTGCAGTCTGCGCCTACCACGTTCAGGAACCTGTAGATGCTGCAAAAGCTCTGATCGGATTTGTCAACCAGCCAGCAGACTCTGATCAGCAACGTGAATGCATTCACAACGCGACGCACTTGCTGTCTCAGTTATATGTCCGAATGAGGCAACTCGACCGTGCACGAACCGAATGCGAGAAGGCCTTACAAGCAAGACGACGATTACTGGGAAAACGGCATGCTTCGTCTTTGGAGTCCTTGGCTCTTATGGCTCACATTTACGTCTTGCTCAATAACCGTGCGCTTGCGAAATCCTGCCTTGCCATGATACCGGAGGCAAACCGAGAAGCCTCTTTGAAGGCAGTCGA